TCAAGGCTTACCGAGGAGCTATGAACTGAATGCGATTCCACTCGCAGCTCAGATGGCACGTCCGATGGTTTGGCGTCGCATTATAACGAGACAGATGTCGAACTTGGGCATGAACCTCTCCGCGACGGGGATCTGATGACAGCATGATGGGTCCTTTTGGACGATATGGTCGTTGCCAAGTTATTCATGATTGCTATGCGTTGTCCGGTTTGACCATTTTGTTATGATGTTCACATGCTTAACTGTGCGAGCTCAGTGGAATTTGGTTCGTCAATTTGAAGTGGCTGGGATCATCTGATGATATTCCCCATTAGTTGTCACATATAAACACAGTGTTACAGCAGAAATACACCCTCGCAAGAGAAACATGGACTTCCGAGTCATGAATTATTTCTCCCAATGTATGGGATGTTAACAGAATAATGATCATGATGACAGACTGATACTGCAGTATTGTATAATTCGCTGCAGTTGTTGTAGTAGCAAAGCCTCTTCTGAAATCTTTTCTGATCAGCTATTACTTTGATAACACTATGTTCCAAATCTTCCGCACATCATTCGTCCAGTTTGTTTGCATAGTACTGGTGACAGGGATCGGGTAAGTCTATTATGGTTTGATGAATGTTAGGACTGCCTTGATGGTCCATTAACGGCTTGGCAGCAGAGATCATTCTTTCAGAGACCCGAGCATGACCAAGCCACAGGTGATTCAGAAAGGTGATCATCACGTAGTGTTGGGATATCAACTTCACTCGTGTCCTCTCAGACCAGCCCAAATCGTTCTTACAAAACTGGCCGGACACTTAGACTTCACAGCACCAAGCGAACGCTCCTTCAATGCACGCCAATGGTATGCGATAAACTCACGTCGAATCTTCGTCACATCATGAGCTGGTCGGATCGGCTCTTCTCTAGATATAAATCCGAACTGCCTGCCACAAACTCTGGTGTATCCAAAGCATAATAAATCTGGTGTGATGCTCTGCTTCCCACTCTCGGCATCATAACTGTACCAGAGTGTCGGACGCGTGTTCAAAAGAAAACACACTTCCAATAACAGATTATCCAGCTCAGAATCAGCAAGGGTACTCGCCTTGCCTCCAGAACTGCGCAGCAACACTCGCATCTTTCTCGCTCCAAGATCATGGAGCTTTTCGAATCTTCCGCCTTCAAAGGGACTGCGAGCACTCAACGGCTCAACTGTGGCACCGAGCAACTCCTCAACGCGGTCCTTGAACTTCCCACTAGCGAAATAAGAAGCCATATCACACACTAGCTCCCTTACTCCGCCCCTCTCGAGTTGGGCTCTTCTGAGAACTGCAACAGTCGCGTCAATCGTCTCACGCTCTCCATCTTTGCCTGCCGGAACTCTATACCACGTACAGTGTCCGGAGAACAAACATGTAATACTGACGATCTTACGGCGATCACCCAGAGAGAAATAATCAATACCAACCCGATAGTAAGGCTGATGGAACTGTAACCGCAGAGCATGACCCTTGCCAACACTCGGAGGCTCCGTCCATACACGACGGGCACGAACAATCTGGCAGACGAAACAGCCCTTGGCCAGCTTCCTCACATCTTGATTAATAGATGGCAGGTGAAAGTCAGTGATCAATGCAGCGGAAGCAGGAATGCTTCCATGCCTCGTCTCACGATGAGCAGTACGGATGATAAGGGTCCTCAAAAATGTTGTCGGAGTATCCTTAGGAATGACAGGACAAAATGACACCGAACCTGCTGCGGAGCCGGTACGGAATGCCAGATATGAAA